ACAAGTCAACAACAAATAAAGTAATCAACAACAATATAGAAATCCCGATTAATTCATTCGGTTTAACTGTTTAATTTTTAAACCAGTATCTTTTGACCGGTTTAATAAAATAATTAATTTATTACTGGTTTGATATAGTTTAATTATAATTTTGATCATTAATTCTTAACTAGTCCGGTTTTTAATACCAACATGTATTTTCATTTTTTTTCTTTTTCTTGCCACTGTAATAAAATTTACTGGAAGACCCGATAAACTCCGTGTCTGCATTCAGTTGCACCAAGTGCTCATCACAATTAGGAGCAATTATGTCCCTCCATTTCAACCTAAAAATGATCTCTGTTGTCCTTCTAAATTAATTTTTCAATATTTTTAATATTATATTTATTAAAATAAAAAAATTTAATATTAAATTTGGACTATTTAAAGTACATTTAAATGATTAATTTATAAAATTGATAAATTTTTGTAATATTAAATTAGTTCATCTAAACTATATATGAATTATCCAGAGTTTATCTGGACAATCAAATTGTAAAATTATAAAAAATTTTAATATTAAATTGGACTGTTAGATTAAATCTATACTAGTCAGATTAATAATTAACAGATTTATTAAAATTTTAAAAATTTTTATCTTTTTTATATTAATAAATATAATAGTAAAAATATTTAAAAATTAATTTAAATGAATGGCAAGTATCAATTTAAACTGAAATGAAAGACCAACATTGCTGCAAAATCTGATGAACGTGCGGTGCACCGAATGCAAATCCGTAAACTCCCGCGACCTTGACTTTTCGAAGTACCCTGTCACTGTAAACCATCCATTTAATCTCGTGATGCTAATGAAAAGATGGAAAATTTATTTTTTAGCGTAATTTACTAATAATAATTTTAACCCATCAATATATCAACAAAATAAACAATTTTTTCCATTTCCAAACCTCACTTTTTAATTTAAAATACCAATAGATTGTTTGGAAAAATTGTTGGAAACCCTAATAAATCATAACTTGAATTCTTTGCCACATGTTGGGTGGAAATTACTATAAGGTGCTTATGTGTTCAAAAAATTACAACTGGGTTTTTATGAAATTATATTTGATAATAATAGTTATAAAAGATTAAACAATTTTATAAAAATCATACTTTTTAGGTTATATATCAAAACGTGATTTTGATGAATACAATTCAAATAGAATTATTTTTTTATAATTTTACTTTTTAAAAATGATATCCAAACAAAAATTAAAAATAGTCATACATTTCTTTTTCTTGCCACTGTAATTAAATTTATTGGAAGACCCGGCAAACCCCGTAACCTTGACTTGCTGTAGTCTTGTCTGGAAGTACTCGGAAAGACCAAACAAGAAGCAACGCACGTGGCAGGCTACTAAGTACTAACCCATTTCGAAAATTAGGTAATATAAAGAAAAGTAAACAAATGAATTATTTTTAAATTTTAGATCTACTGATCTAGCAGCATTATAGGTTATAAATTTAATTATTGTGCAAATTATCTTTTTATTTTTAAAAGCAGTATAATTTGATCGTTGTCATGAATAAAAATTAATTTTAATTATTAATTGATCAAAAAAAAGACATCAAAATTATAGAAAAGTTATATAATTTTTTGGATACTTATATATAATTTTTGGGTCTTTTGTTATAATTTTTTGTATTTTTTATGTTTTTTTATTTTTTTTAGTTCATTAATAGTCAAAATTAATTGTTATTAATTATATGAGTCAGATTGTATTATTTTTAAAAGTTAAAAAAAAATTTACACAATAAATAAGTTCAGAATTCATAATTTATAATATTACTTGACTTAAAATTTAATTTACTCATTTATTCTACGAAGAAAACATGACTGCAGGTAATATATAGTATGTGTCTATGACCTGCTCATATTTACATGCATCTCCTTATCATTCATCTTTCTATAAATATGCTGTACACCATCCATCTAATCTCGTGATCCTAATGAAAAAATGGAAAAATTATTTTTTAGCGTAATTTATTTATAATAATTTTAACCCCGTCAATAAATCAACAAAATAAACAATTTTTTCCATTTCCAAACCTAACTTTTTAATTTAAAATACCAATAGAATGTTTGGAAATTTTTTTAAAAACCCTGATCAATTATGATTTGGATTCTTTACAGCACGTTGAGTTGAAGTTATTTAGAGGCGCTTTTGTGTTCAACAAAATCACGATTGGATTTTTATTAAATTATATGTGATAATAATAATTATAGAAAATTAAACAACTTTATAAAAATCATAGCTTTTAGGTAATTATATATCAAAATGTGATTTTAATGAATATAATCCAAACAGAACTAAATTTCTCATAATCACCTTAAAAAAAAGAATCCAAACAAAAATTATAATTTATCAACATTACTTTTAATTAATATCACTTTTAAAAAACATGACTATCTCTCATTTATTTAACTTCAATCCAAACGGACAATTGGGTTATACCAAATTTTTATTTTTTTATTTAATATTAAAATGAAGAAATATTATTTTTTATTTTCTTAATTTAGTGGAATCATATCGTAAATAAAATTATTATGAGAAAATTAATTTGATTTCATTTAAGCATCTTTTTTCGGTTGAATGAAAGGGTTGAGTAAGTTAATGCTGTTAAAAGGATGAGTTTCTTGCAATGTTTTTAAAGTTAAAAATTAAAAAAATAAATTTAATGAAAATTAGAGTACTATAACAGTTATATATATATATATATATATATTCTATAACTAGAAATTTTGTATTTTAAAATAATGGTATTGTCATTTTAGGGAGGCTGGAGCAGTTAAAATAGGATAAGGTATGGATGATCAAGAAAGTGAAAATTTCAAAAAGGTTTTTGACTTTTTGGTTCTTCGATTATGATGTGTGGAAATGATCACTGGCATTTAAAAAATTATGGTTCAAGCTCTTTATTGCAATGAATTTGATATTTTTAGTTGGTTTCTTTTATACCCGGTAAAAAAATATAAAATATTTTTAATTAAATTACACTTTTAATAAATTAGTAAATTATTTTTAAATTGATATTATATTTTTATGTTTTTTAATTTAATAGAATGTCTCACTTAAAAATAAATCGTTGAATTATTTTTTTTGTTAAGAGTATTTTTAAAAAATGATTAATTATATATTAAAATTCTAAAAATATCTTATATTTTTTCAGCATTTAATCTAAAAAAATGCTTCATAACAGAGTAGTTATCTTACATTTTTTAGTACTCAGCTTTAAGTTTTTTAATACTCATGTTTTTATTGTTTTTAATACTCGACTTTGATATTCTTAACATTCATCTTTAATATTCTTAGTAATAAAAAATATTAAACACGAGTATTGAAATTATAAAAAAATAAGTTCTGACCAAAAAAAAATAGAACCAGGTAGTAAAAAAGGTAAAAAGTTGACTGCATAAAAAATCAAAGATAAATATTAAAATTATAAAAAAATTTGGGCCGAAAAAATTTTCAAAATTTAGAACCGAACCAAAAGCATCAACTCAAAAAAAAAAAAATCCATTTCAACTATAACCTTGATCTATTTAAAATTTCTAGAATCCACTATCGTCAATCACAATTAGGGTATGTTTCGATAATATCAAAATTGAGGCTTTGGGGTGCCGACCTCAGTTTGGGTCTTAAAAAGCTCATTCGAAAATTTGGAATAATATTTTGGATAAAAAAAAAAAAAAAACTTTTGGTCCAAAAACGTATTCCAATTGAAACTTGAGAAGAAAAAAAAAAGAGTTTTCAGCTTTTAGCTTCACTTATAAATCACATGAGGCTCAATTAGTTGGGCAATACAATCAGTTCGTTAAAAAAGTTCACAATGTAATATTTTATAATTTATTAATTTATTTTAGCTTTTTAGAATTTTGTAATTTATTAATTTATTTCAGGTTTTTATAATTTAAAAATAATACTTAATTATATATAGACTCTTTAAAATTAAAATTTTAATATTCTTTAAAAAAATTTAAATTAGAAAAAAATATTTATCATAAAATTCATGTCATTTCCAATCATCATGCATCTAATTAAACTTGCTTTTGAATTTTATCATCCAAACAAGTTTCTGTCTCTCAAATTGACTTTAAAGAAAAAAAGTATCCAACTAATAACAATTAGTCCAGTTAATAAGGATTTTACTCATAACCTATAATATTGTGTGATTGAATCATGTTGTTGATGTAAAGACTTTATTAATAAGTAATTTATAAGTATTTACGTAAATGTTTTTTTGAGTCTGAAAGAATATTTTGACCTTTCTAAACCCTTAGATCCAATTGACATAAATGTTTTTTAATACTTCAAATAAAAAAAGAAGTATGAAACATAAATTAATTTTTAACCTAACTCGCATTTGGTTTACCTGCATTTTATATTCACAAAAGACTTTTGAAACTTCAAGAATGTAAAAGTTGTTTGATTTTTTAAGTCGTTTTCAAAGTCAATTCAAAAAACTCCAAAAATCTATTCCTTAAACTTAACTTAGGATAACTTTCTAAGAATACTTTACATAATTTTATCATCAATTAATTCTCACTCTTCTATTTTTACTCAATAATTATCATAATTCAAATAATTTTTAATTTATTAAACTGACTTTTTAAAAAAATTACTCAAACATAAATTTTATTATAATAATTAACTTCTATCAAATTATAATTTTTACCAAATGAATTTTTAATTAATAAAATTTTAACAAATTAAAAACTAAACACACACTCATTGTGCAAATTTCAGCTTATTCTAACTTTAAATTTTGCAATTTCTAAACCAAACATGCCCTTCAAGTTTTCATGACGTGGTCAACGGTGTCATTTCTCCGATAATATCATTTCTCACGCAAGAATCCACCGAGTCTACGCATTGGAATCTCCACTCAAGTTTTTATTAATTAATTAATATATCATAGCTTCACTCATTCATTTCATATCACAGCTAATTCCACCAAGCTTCAGTCTTCTTCTCTATCGCCATTTCTTTCAACAGCATGTCTTCACCCGCAGAGTACTCTCTCTCTCTCTCTCTCTCTCTCTCTCTGTGATCGACCATTTGTTGTATGAATTTTCTGTCAAGATTTTTTCTTCTTGAATGATTTATTATTTATATCATGCTCAAGTGTTGTGTTGTGTGTGTGTGTGTGTGTGTGTGTTATGTTTTTGTTCTCAAGTTTTCCCGGAGAAAATATGTTTTTGTTGATCTCTGATTCTCTGAATAATTTATAATTATTCATATGAATTTGCGATGTACCTAGTCGTCATCTCAGTTTTGGCCAAGTTGCAGAAGCAGAACTCATCTATGAGACCAAGCAAGTCTCTTTGTTTCAGTATTTATATAGTAATTGTAATTATAATTATAATTCTTGCTTTATAATTCGAGTTTTATTTTTTATTTTTTTGAGCAAAATAAAAGTTATGGCTTTGTTTATAACTGATATTTCTAGTTAAACAAATTTCTCTGCATATGCAAGTTTTCCAGGAAAACAGTTTTGTCGAAAAATTTTGTTTAACCTTTCATTTCTGGGAGATGAGCACCCAACACTAATGAGATTTGGACTGTTCAAATTCAATGTAGATAGTATAATTTTAAAACTTTAAACTTATAATTTTTTTTAAAAAAATCCTTTTTGGTAAGCATGCTAATTAAGATATTATCTTTTATTTTTAATATTATATTTATTAAAATAAAAATTTATAAAAAATTTTTAATATTAAATTTGAACCATTTAAAATAGATTTTTTTTAAAAAAATTTATAATTTTATCAATTTTTGTTTTGGTGATTACAGAATAAAAGTCAAAATAATTTCTCAACCCGCACGACACTTCCCAAAATGCGATTTTTCTTGGAAAAAAAAAAAAAACAAGTTTTCCTCGTTTTCTTTTGCATTCTTTTTGTCGTTTTATTTCCTCTTCATCTTCCATAAATACCCCAAAAATTTCGATCTATTTTCAGCCACCCAAGCGCCGAGGGAATTCATAATATCTTCCCACTAGATGAAATGATATATGTTATTTAGTATTTTGATGTTATTTAGTCCAAATGCAAAGTTGGAAAAAATGAGTGTCCAAGATTTGCGAGCCTCACAAGAAGTCTCTTATCTATCTCGGCACTTTTGCCCTTTAGAAATGGCTGCTTAAGCCCACAATGTGTCGCTTTGTCAGTTTGTCCATCAAAGGTAAATCCGCCATGGTCCTCCCCCGATTTGCCACATGTTCCCCACATAACATCTAAGCTATTGCTTTTGTCATTATCGCCATGGTTAAGTTTAATGCTGTAAAGCCCTTAAAAGCGTCGAAATCCTCAAAGTCATCATAGTTGAGTGATGAGATAGTGGAATTTTTGAATATAGAAGAAGAGAGCTTCCACATGGCTTAGTTTATATAGATTGACTTAATGGATAGTTAATTATTTCTAGGTATAGGTATGGGTTTATATGATTTGGAATTGCTTGTTGTTGTTCTTGCTTGCAGTTCATGAAGTTGTTCTTGCTATCAAGGTAGATTTTTTTAATTTTTTTTTAAAATGTCAAGTGGCTATACATGGCAATTAAAGTCAAAGTAACGGTTAATACTACAGCAAGGTAAAATTATTTTCTTTTTTAAACTTTGAAAGAAATAAGCTCCAAACAAAAGTTTAGAATACCCAGCACCTCTGAAAAAAAAAGTTTTAGAGCAAATATGTCATTTAACCCTAGTTAACTTTCCACTTAATGGTTAACGTTTCTGATATTTAATGAAAGGGCAAAAATGCTCTTTTTTGAGAAGTTCAAGGCAAAATTGCTTTGAAAAAAGTTTAGAGTGCCAGGTACCTTTGGAGAAAAAGTTTTAGAATAAATATGTCATTTAACCCTTTTTTAAATTGGAACCTAATGTGCGATTTTTCTCAAATGAGCATAGAAAAGAGAAGGACAATGGAATTTGGTGACAATTGCACATTGGACCTCAATTTTAAAAAAATCCACAGGCATTTGTTTAAACTTAACGGTGGAGGCAAAATTGCCCCAACTTAATTAGTTAGGATTCAAAATGTATATTTTAAAAATTTAGGATTCAAATTGCCTCTAGACCTATAATTCAGGATTCAAATTACATATTAACCCTTTAAAAAATATTAATTTTTAAATTAAATTATCTTGCATCCTTATTTTAGGATCTTTTGGCTCCATCACTATATATATTTGATGAGCTAACTAAACAGGCGATCTATTGAGTCTAGATAGTAACTAAAATATAAACTTATTAAATAATGCGAATGATATAAATTCTTAGGTGATAGGTGTACTGCCATTTTGTTGGAGTCCATTCATGGGAATTCCATTAGTTTTCATGATCACCTACGTTTGGAGCCGTGAATTCCCAGATGCGAGAATCAATATATACGGTGTCGTTTCACTGAAGGTATATATGCTTTATGATATCTTCATTCATTAATTTTGTTTTGTTCATATTAATTGAAAGTGCTATAGTATTATCTGTTACCATCATGTCAATAGATTATGTGAATTTGGATTTCTATCTCATTTGTGTATGTCTTAGGGTAAAATTGCAAAACAACACACAATTACAATTAATCCGAAGTCCTAATATTTATCTCCTCTTATTGGGGAAAAAAAAAATTAAGGGTCTGTTTGATTTTTATTTTTAATTTTTTTAAATTTTAAAACTGCTTCTTTTTTAAAAAAATAAATTTTAAAATAAAAATGTGTTTGGATAAATATTTTTAAAGTTATTCCTTTTTTAAAATAAAATTAAAACATCTTAGAATTATTTTTTCCTCTTTTTTTTTTACATTTAAAACACATTATATTTGACTAGTGTAAATTTTAACTATTTACCTACCATATATTATTATAAGTCACTAATACTAATCATTAGCAGCTATCACTATTAGCTAATATTTCTTAATTCTAAAATTATTTTTAAATTACTGAAATTAAATATATTTTCTTGTTGTTTTACTTTTGAAAAATAATTTTTAAAAATTATCTACAAAATAGTTTTTAAAAACAAAAAAGAGAACAAAACCTAACAAGCCCTACACTGCAAAGCTTTTGCATAAATAGCCTCTATTAAAGTTTAACAAACCCTAGGCTCACACCCCTTTTGATAATAATAATGAATTTTATGTTGAAAAGTACTAGTTGAAAAACTTTAAGGGAAATTAATGTATAATTTAATTTAAAAATTAATTAGATTGAATTAGTTTTCCTTTATATTGTTTTAATTGATGACAAAAGATGGAATAGAGTCAAAATTTCTGTGTTTTGTTCTCTTTGCCTTATTATACCTTTTTCCTCAGACAAAAAGTAACCCCTTTTTAATCTGGCTATAAAGATTAAAATGCTCTATGAATTTATGTTCTCATAGAAAATTTAGTTTAGCCACAAAACTTGAATAATTGTTGGCCAAAAAAAATTGAAACTTGAATAACTCTGTGAAAGAGTTTATATGCCGACTGCTTTTTAAATTATTAGCCCTACAATTACAATCGTTCATGATAATAAAGTTCTGTTCATCTATTTATTTATGCCTCAGACATTGAAAACATATAATTCACATCACATGCATTTTAAATGTCAACCAAATAATATATATACTCCCTTTGTTTCTGAATATAAGAAAAAAAATAACCAACTCATATATTTTAAGAAAATTAGTTAAATGTAATACTTATGTATAAAAATAAAAACAACTAAACCAAAATACCTTTCATTAATCAAGCAAGTCTGCATTAACGTTTTTGTCTTATGAATGAAAACTCGTATTTTATGAGGGATAGTTGAGGAAAATTGTGATAAATACTTATTAAAATATGTAATTTTTCTTATAAAAAGACAAACTACTATGTGACAATTTCTCTTATATTTAGAAATGGAGGGAATACACTAAAGAGTGTTGATCTATAATCTTATGAGCTATAGAACTTTAATATGCTCTTTTCTAATATTCCTTACAATGTCCCAACTTATCAATTTAGTTTTTTTTTCTTTAAATTATTGGATTTTATCTAAAATAAAAGACATTTGGATATCTTGAAATTTTAAAATGGTGACGATTTTTTTCTATGACTTTTTAAAGAAAAATATCAAAATTATACCTTTTTATTTTTAAAAAATTATAAAAAATATAAATCTTTATCGTTTTGAGACTTTAAGATATCAAAATGCCTCTTATTTTATAAAGAGCTAATGATCCAAAGAAAAAAGAAAAACAAACTTGAGAAGTTGGGACATTATGGCCCTGATCTTATATGTCTGTTGATTTGATAGATGGAGCTAATAATTTATGATAAGTATGAGATAAATCATAGGTTAAAGAACCAAATTGTTGGTCCAAATTAAATAAAAAATTAAGGAATGGAACATTTTGACTGCAATTTTGTTGCAACAGGGTTTTTATCTTCCTTGGGCAATGCTAGGTCTGGATTTAATTTTTGGGAATTCATTAAAGCCAGGAATCACAGGGATGGTTGCAGGACATTTATATTACTTCTTAACAGTTCTTTATCCTCTTTCTGGTGGCAAGTTCACTTTCAAGACTCCTCTATGGGTGTATCCTTTTTCTTTATATCTTTATGCTCATAATTCTTCTCATGCCAGGTTCAGTTTAATTTCTAAGTTTCATCATCATGCTTGAAATGTAGGTCTAGACTTTTAAAACCCTTTAAACTATCCCCCCCCCCCAAAAAAAACCACACACATAATATGTATATGTTGTGTGTGAATTGTCTAAGGGTTTGTTTGGTTGGAGGAGAAATGGAGGAGATGACAGATTATAATGAGTTTGATTTAGGAGAAGTAGGGTTAAAAGATTTTAATCAATCTTTCTTATTCTTTTAATTTACATATTCATTTTATTAAAATTTTATGACCTCATTTATTCATTTTTTAAGTTGAAATCATTAGAATTTTCTCTTCCATCTGCTCCAACCAAACAGGGAATAAGGGATTTCCTTTAAACACTTATTCTTTTTGACTTTTTCTAAGTGCTTAGCGTTGACACTCAAGAAGCAAGTGACCCAAAGTTGAATATTGCAATGCCACTCTAAGTTACTTCCATTTTTTAATGGGAGAATCAAGCCTAACTTTTGTAATAAAAAAACACTTAACCTTAGAGAGAATAAATGTAACTAACAAACTATTAAATATTTGAAGGTCTGATATTCTAAATTTGTCACTTTAGTGGGAAAAAAAAAGGAAATTATTTATCTCTTTAATGAAGTACGAGTAGTTTGATTGCTATCAATTCCTTTTTTTTTTTAATGGAAATCCTTAACAACATGTGAAATTAAACAGTCATAAAATAGTGGCATATTGGGGAGAGGGCACTCAAGTAAATTCACCTGTGCATTCAAATCCAACAACGGATGGAATTGTATTCCGTGGCAGAAGTTTCCGTTTGGGAGGCACCCAAACAAGAATGACAAGTAATCCACAAGGTCAACAAAATGAAAGCAATGTTTCTCCACAACAACAAAATCAAGGCAATGGAATTGCTTTCCGAGGAAGAAGTTATCGCTTAAACGGATGATGTCTATGGTATATGATCTTAATTAAAATTATAGTTTTTTTAATTGTTGGATTAACATACTTAATCAATTGGTATATGTATGTTGAATATTTCTCTTTCGGACAAGTTAATTATTATTGAAACCCACCTACATGCTATCATCATGTTTTTATTTCTTTTATATGATGATTGTCCTCTTGATCCTCATCCTCCTCCTCCTCCTCATTAATTTTTTTTAATAATAACATTAAAGTCTTAAAATAATGAATTTATAACATTATGTTTAAAGCCGATAATTTAGACGAGTTTAATTTATTCAGATTAGACTTAAAGTATAATACCTTCTTAAAAAAGTCTATATAACTAAACTCAACCCTAACTTTTTTGGTTGGGTTCAGGCTAGCTATGAGCTTGACCAAAATTATCTACTTTATATACACATAGAGCCAAAAATTTAAGTGATCGAACTTATTTAAGTCGATCTCAACTCGAGCCGAGCTTAATGTATATGTATCATGCCTTTTTTTAAAAAAAATTCATATAGTTAAGCCCGACCCTAACTTTTAGGGCTTGGCCTAAATTATCGGCTCTAGTTACATTCTTGATAATTTTGTTTAAAAAAATCGGTTGTAAATATTGTTTAGATAGTCATTAATTAAGAATTATAACTACAAATAAGACATTTAAATTTTAAATATTACTCTCAACTTATAATTAGAATTTTTATTTGTAACTGTTTGAATTAATATTTACAACTTAGTTTTTAAAATATTTTGTAGAGGACTTATTTATCATAAATTTTAAATTATGGGACTTCATTATCACTCTTCCGATTTCTTTCCCTTTTTGAGTGGGGTGTGTGAATGTGTGAATATTGAGCATATGCTTCTTCTTAAATAAACTCTAAATATTCATATGACGATTAACAAATTCATTTAAGTAGTATTTGGATTAATATATTTGGATTTAGATTTTAAATTTAAAATCTTATATTTAAAATGTGATAACCTTCCTCTTCGAGAAATCCCTTCACACTATTTTTAACTCTTAAGGATGGTTTTGTGGGAGTTTTATATAAGGATAATTTTATTGTAAGTCTCTTGAAATTTTGAATAGAATTCTCGTCATATAAAAACTCCCACAAAGTAAAAATCTTTCAAAAAATAATATTGTATTCTCCTAGCATCAATTATTGGCAGGAAATATTATTTAAAAGAAACAATTAAATAGTTGAACTTATAGAGTATGTGAATCCGTAAAAACGTATGTGCGCGCGAAGAACGAGGGCCCTTTTGGTTGTTCTGGTTGGCCAACTACAATTCAAAAGTAATCTCTCCACCACCTTTCTGCACATAAAAGGAACAACTACATTTATGTCTCGTATAAAAAAATTTATTATCAACAAATTTGATAAAATTTATAAAATATTTTCAAATATCAAATTTTATATATTTACAATTTGATTAAGGATATTAATAAATGAGCAACTATTATTTACAATTTATTATTGTAAGTTATTATTTTCCTTCAAAAGTTGTAAATAATTATTGTCTAGTTGTTAATACCCTTAATCAAGTTGTAAATACATAAAATTTAAAACTCAAAAGTATCTATTGAATTGCATAAGACCAATCAGAAATAAATTATCTTTTATGGGACATAGATATAATTTTTCCTGCATAAAATCCTTCATTCACAAATAAGATTTTCTAAATACACAATACCTGAATTTGAATTTGTATTTGATTAAAACCCTTCGACAAACCCGACAACAACAATCCCAATAATATTTTTAAGAAAATAGATGATAATTTTGTAATATATAGAAAATGTATACTCTTAAAAATACATCTTTAATCAAAACATAATCTACAAAAAAAAAATTTTAACAAAGATAAAATTTTAGCGTGAAATTATATTTTTATCATTGAAATATTTTTCAACGATTACCCAGCGCTCTAAACTATTGCTTAAAGTAATTTTGCTCCTAAAATAATTAAAACAAATCATTGTTTCCCCTTTCTGTTAAAATTTCTAACTGTTAATGTTAGGCCAATTAATATTTCTAATAGTCGATGTTAAGAATTTAATGACAAGAACAAAAATTCTCTGTTTTAATTATTTTAAAAAAAATTACTTCAGTAAATAGTTTAAGGTGCTAAACACCTCTCAAAGAATATTTCAGGAACAACAATATACATTTATTTTAAATTTTATTTATCTCCAATTCACTCTTTATTGTTAGAAACTAAAATTCTTACGCCAATCTTCCAAACACACATTCTCACGCATCCCCCAGTAATATTTTCATTGAGTAACACCTTTTCATCCGTTAACTGTAATAATCTATTATTAATCAATACATTCATATGCACAAGGTGTATAGTCCTTATTAATGCTCAAGGCTCAAACACATCAATATCTTATATCTTGATTCTAACCAGCCTCTAACTATTAGTATTCCTCCACAAAATTTTAATACCCCATATAAAAGAATTCATTTCCTCAATATAGTCAAGGGTTTAAAAGGATAAAAATATCCTAAATTTTTTGTGAGGGGCACCTACTATTTTAAATCTTTTCTAGAGTAATCTTGTTTTAAAACTTTCAAAAGAATGCAATAGCGCCTTGATATTAATATTATATTTGTTGATCATTAGTTTGACTTTTATTACCTCATAGCATCCACTTTGACTCATTTTAAAAAAAAAAATTAAAAAAAATATTTAGACATGGCTATTCCTGGCTTCTTTCATCCTCATCAGCCTCCAATTCCCAACCATCACACCAAAGCACCAAACCCTCCTGCATTCTATAATGAAACTAATTTCAGTGCTCATTATATAGATGCACATTGAGAGCTCATTGCCTCTATATCATTTAGACCTAATTTTTTTATCTAGATTTACAATTTTTCAATGAGTATTTTTTAAATAAAAATTATTATTTAAAAACTAATAATTAAGAGATTGTATTTATTTTAAATTCTATATTTTTTTAAAAAAATTTTTTAAAAAAATGAAAGTAAAAAGTTGTAAATATGGACAATCTAGATTAGATATGAACAATGTAAAAATGATGAACTCTAAGTGTTTATTTATATAATAAATACGGAAATTAATGATATTCGGTAACAAGTATTGAGCTCAATCAGACCCTGCAACTCCATCATGAACTGCGATATCATATATTTATATAATATATGAGTCACATGATTTTTTTGGCCACGGATGATTTTTAAAAATTAACATAATCTGTGTAGTAATTATGCCGATGATTTTTTTTTATTAAAACAAAACAAAACAAAGAATAGCATGGTAACGGTTATCTAGGATTAAGAAAGTGTTAGGGTAATCACATCTGGTTTCCGTGCTTCTCATGTTGATAAGAAATTTGAACCGTTCAGATTTTCAATATAGTCGGTCCAGATTTATAGCTTTAATTTTTATATTCTATTTTATATATATTAAAATAAAAATTATAAATTTTAATAAATATATTTTATCATCAATTTAAACAATGCAAATTTAATTTGAATGCTCCAATTCAATATTAAATATTTTTAAAATTTTTATAAATTAACTGTTGAGATATATTGTGAACAGTTTAGATTTAAAATTTTTAAATTACAACTTTTTCTTAATTTTTAAAGTTCTAGTTTGAAGATTATCTTTATTTTAAATTTTTAATATTATATTTACAAAAATAAAAATTTATAAAAATTCTAAAAAAGTTTAATATTAAATTCAGATTCTTTATAATACATCTGGATAGTCAATTTATTAAAAGTATAAAAAATTTTAATATTAAATTGGACTATTCGATTAAATATGTATTGTCCAAATTAATAATAAAATAAATTTATTAATTTTTATATTTTTTTATAAAAAATAAAAAAAATAAAACTTTAAAATCTGGAAATAAATATATTTCTACTTAAGGTCTTTGAGCTTGTCGAAAGTTTTCAGATCATATTCCACTCTAAATATAAATTTATGTGTTTTGGGAGGTCGAAGTGGGACTCTCCCTTCACAGCATACATTGTGATGGTGATCAGGAAGTAAAGGAATCAAGTACAGTTGAGTTGGGGGAAAAAAAAAATACACGTGCGGGGATGATTGAAAGGCAAAAGGAGTAAGTTGGAGTTAGCTGAATTTTTTTTTTAATTTTCACTTGCTGTCTGGTCTTTTTTTCTGCTATCGTATTCGTTCGTTCGTTTGTTTGTTTATTTTTTTTTCTGCCTTTGTTGCTTTTTCCCTTTTTCATAGTTTATCCCCACTTATAAAAAAATTACATTTAAATTTTACATAAAAAAATTTATTATCAAGAAGTCTTATAAAATTTAAAAAATATTCTTAAGTCTCAAATCTTGCATATGTACAACTTAATTAAGAGTATTGACAATTAAATAACGACCATTTATAATTTGTTAAGAAAAATAATAACTTGTAATAACAAGTTATAAATGTTCATCGCTCAGTTCTCAATATTCTTAGTTAAGTGATAAATATACAGAATTTGAAATTTAAAAGTTTTTTTTATAAATTTTAAGATTTTTTGATAATAAATTTTTTTATATGAAACTTGAATTTACTGTTGTTTTTTTGTTTTGCACACCCATCCTTTACATTACTGTGATTGGGCTTAGGTTCTGTTTTGTTTTTCTAGCATTCTGTTTCTTGTACCTGGCTATTTTGTAGTGTTTTGTTTGTATCTTGGCTTCCTTTCTAATGAAAGTGTTCCCTCGTTTTATTCAAAAAAGAAAAACATAAAGTTTATTGTCTCTCCATGGACCTTTTGTTTGATCTGATTGCTTTGAATTACGTCTTATGGCCAAAAAGGAGGTTCTGTTTCTTTTTTAAAAAAAAAAAAAATTTAAAAAGTGTCATGTGACTGTGATAGTTAAAATCAAATTAACAGTTAGAGTTAATAATTTAAATGGGTTGAATTTAATCAAATCAAAATCTATTTAGGCTAGTTTGAATAAGTTTAGACTTATTAAAAAAAAATACATATATTCAGGCTCAACTTTAACCCTCTCAAGCTTTTAGACTTATTCGAGCGTAAATGCCTAAATTATTGATTTTTTTAAAATTTAATTTTAGCTTGAAATTAATTATTTTTATTATTATAAAATATAAAATATAATTTTTATACATTTTTAAAAAAATTAAAATATTATTGGGGTATTCAAGCCTATTTGAGAATAGGTCCAAATATTAAAAATATATTATTTTTTTTAAATTACACTCTAAATTTTTTCGGTTTTATTCGAACTAGTCCAAATTATTGACTCTATTAACAATCATCACTAATGGTAGGGTGATCTTGTATTATTTTTAACACGAGCTATGAGGCTACTTGGGGCCAATCGACGAAACGAGAGAGTCGAAATCTCCACGAGATGATGATGGCCATGGGACTCATACTGTGAGCATGGCCGCTGGATTGGTGGTTCAGGCTGCAAGCCTCTTCAGGTACGCTGCTGAGACGGCATGTGTGATGGCCACGCGCGCCAAATTCACTGCCTGTAAGGTTTGCTGGGCAGGAGGCTGTTTCAGTTCTGATATATTGGCGGCCATCGAGAGGGCCATCTCAGACAACGTCAATGTCCTTTCCTTATCGCTTGGAGGTGGGATGACGGATTATTATAGAGATAGTGTGGCGATCGAATCTTTCGCTGCAATGGAGAAAGGGATTTTAGTCTCTTGCTCCGCACACAATATTGCTCAAAAAAACAAAAAAACAAAAAAAAAAAGGATATGAGGTGTGCTCCATGAAAAAATTTTAGGACATTTTTGCCCTTTTATCCCTATAATCAAACCTCAATCACCCTACTTGTTTTCAATGAAAATAATTTTTCTCCTGTACTATTATTTCCTCATCCTTATTTGTTCTCTCACTTTTTCTCTTGTAAAATCCCTTAGATGTTCCTAATGGATTACTCTATCTCTTAAAATGGTGTAATGAAATTCCCAAAACACTTGTATAAAATCGCCTAGAGGGAGGTAAATTGGGCTTAATAAAAATTTGACAAATAATACAAGAATAAAATAGATAAATTAGGAATGGTATCATTAAAGAACGCTAAGTAAAGGGAAGAGAAGTTTGCACATGTATTATCCTAGTTCAACTCTAATCATTTGAGTTTATGTCCAATCCCTAAGTCAAACTTGCAATTTTATCCAATTACTCTACCAAAATTATTTTGAGGATTAATTAGGGAAATAAATGTGTAGTCAAGGTGATTTGAGGTTTATTGGGTGTTTAGGAAATTATTTGGAATTGAGGTTTTAATTGAGGAATTCAAATGGGTTTGAATATTATTTTGTGGATTAATTAGAAAAATAAATGTGTATTCGAGGTGATTTGAGGTTATTTAGGTGTTTAGGCAATTACTTAAAACTAAAATTAGACCTAGAAGCAAAGTAGAGAAATAAATAGGATCCAAAATAGGTTATTAGGCAGAATTGGGGCCCAGAAAGGGTAGAAATGGGCCAGCATGATAGAAGGGCAGAACAACTCATTTTAGTAAAAAGGGCGTTCATGCATGGATAGGTTTTTGCCTATCCCATCCTTGCATGGTCGAGGCATTTTTTAATAGCCTATGTTTTGTGTATCAAAAATAACATGATTAGAGGGGGAAATCTCAGGAAAGGTCCAACAAAGCTTAGTTAGGGCATGATTTTTTGGCATCCTAGGGCTGGTTTTAGGTTGTGAAACCACTTGAGGTGAGTTCCTTGTCCTCCATTATATCATTCTAGCTATTTTTCTTTGAGATTGGGGAGGATTTTCATATTAGGGTTTTTTTATAGGATACGTAATCTGAACTTATGATGATTTATTTTGGTTTTTCAGGTTGTTGAGAGTGTAACAAATAATATGGAACATGTATTTGTTAGAATTCAAATTTGAGAATTTTGGGTGAAACCCTAAGCCTTTGAGGTTGAATTTTATTATTAATTCGAATTATTGGGATGTTTTTCTATGTATATTTGTTTATTTGGGCATAGATAAATGTTTTTAAGGTGTTGGAATGGTGATTTAATGCTTGAAGATGATTATTGATTTTTGAAGGTATTTTTGGATAAATTTTTAAATATGTAATGATGAAATATTGATGTTGAGAATGATTTAAGAATTTATTTAAGGTATAGAAGTGTAGGAGGATTTTAGAGAAAATTTTTGAAAGGGTTAAGATGGCTTGTAACCTTGATTTAACACTAAGTGTGGGTTAGGTCTGGACTCCCTAACTCTATAATTATAGTTAATTATTATTGATAATTATAAAATTAATATTATATAAAATGGTTGTGTAAATTGGGTTGACCAAGGAAGTGAATAAAGTGGTGTTATAAAAGGAGAACTTGTCCAAGACAAGGGATAACTATTATTAATGTATGGTAGTGCATGTATGTGGTTGATTGTGTGTTTGTTTTGCTATTTGAAAAATCTTGATTTTTGGTTGAAAAATAATATATGTACATTTTTTGTTCAGAGATAATTGTCAAGTGGGTTTAATTTATATATATATATATATATATGAATGTTTGTGAATATTGACACAGATGAAAGCATGATAAATTGTTTGATCGTGTTTTTGTTTGGTTGAAATAAAGAATGGGCCAATTAATTTTTGTTCAGTTGTTGCTTATAAATGCATGACTTGTTAAGTATATTAAAAATTATTTGGTAGGGATTTTGTTTAGTTGAGTTACCACATGGTAAGCCTTCATTAGACTCAATGAGTGGCTATTAGCTTGGTCGAATCCACTTTTGGCCGAGTAACTCAGTTCCTAGCAAGGAAATGGAGGGAAATAAGATGATGTCATGCATTTACTATTTTTTATTCAGTTGATTAAATGTCATATGATGAAAAGATATGTTATAATAGCCCCCTTAGCAATCACATAATTAATTGCCTCTCATGAATTATTACATATTAATCTTGGACACTAGGACTTTTAAGTCTTATTCCTTGTGGTTGACAATTTTTACATGAACAAGTTCAGTTAGGGAAGCACCATAGCCATGATTGGTGTATGAGAGACCATCTCTTTGAAATGTCTCTTGATTTTGTAGATGCAATATATATTATGCTAATTTAGGTTGATTATTATTTTATTGAGCATGTAGGTTCACTTTATGATTAATTGCATCTTTATGGCTAAAAGGATTCTCTTTGTCCTTCTTGGCCCTTAACTAGTTTAGAATTTGGTGTCATGAGGATTATGTTTGTCCCTCTTAGCCCCTAACCAGTTTAGAATTTGGTACCATGAGGATTCTATATATCTCTCATAGTCTACCACTTATTTTGAACTAATGAAATGATTCATAATGTAAACTACCACATTTTAGCATGGCTCGTGTTTAGAATTATTGCTAGATGCAAATGGGTTAGAGATTTACTCCATTATTGGTATATATTGAGAAATATATTGTTTGGGCCTTGTTGGGCATTGATGATAGATTTGATTGTTTTAGAAAAAAAAAAGTTATCCTACGAATATACTTATGAGTTTATTCGAAGAACATTGACAAATTAATGGTTAAATAGATATAATCAATATATTGTATTTGAAATAACACTGTCCTGGGACACCATGCTTCTTGAATACTTATGATTTTAGAATAAATTAATAGGTTTTGGATATTTTCTTTTAAAAGGGATCCCAATGAGTATTCTATATAAAATGGTACTTCTGCTAGGTATAAAATAAAGTGATTGCTTTTCTTAATTATCATGGTAAAGTAGATTTATTATGTTTAATTTTTTTTTACCATGATAGATTCTTTTTTACCATAGTAGACTAATTGTGAAATATTTTTATTATTGGAAGAACTTATTTCTATAATGGTAGGGTTTTTAAAAGGAGTGTTATCTTTTATTACCATGCTAGATATTTTTCTACCATGGTAAAAGTTCAATGCTTTTAAAATGGTTTATCAAATTATTAATATGCAGAAATCAGTTTTAAAATTTATAGTGTTACATAATGATTTAACCTCTTAAGCTCCTCAAGTTTAAATCTTCTATTTCAAGTAGTGAAAACGGGGATAAATAAATGTTTTGGAATAAACAACTACTATCTATAACTTTGTAAAAGTATATTTACAATCAATGAAGATCAGATATAATGAATATAACAATAGAATGCTGGTAGAAAATGTTGGACATAATGACTTGGGACATTGTGTTTAGCTTAAGTTTTGATGATAACAAATATAGATGAGTGATAAATGATAATTTTATATATTTTTATTCTTTTAATTTAGACTTTTAAATATTTATTTAAGGCTAATTGAGTTTAATTAGATATTATTTGATTTTATTAGCTAATATTCAGTTTTAGAATTTTAACTAACTAAATCTTTGATTTTAAAATATAAATAATATCTTTAATATTTTTGCACAGGTGCTATTTAATTTTATTTTATTTGTGCAGATTTCTTGGATTCAATTTGGAAGATATTGATAGAGAATATTTTGGATAAGAAGAATTTGGCCATGCTTGGAGATCAAATCAAGAATTAAATCTTTAAAATTTTGTTTAAATTTACTTTGGGTATTTTAGTGTAGTTTTTAATTAGGGTTATTTAGGATAATTTTATCATTTTAGTAAATTATTAGATTTTATTTTCTTTTGGGGGAGGCACATGACATTATATATATTATATATATATATATATATATGAAAGAGAGGAACGAACGCGGGACGGAGGCATCACCGGACGAATTGAAAAAAAGAAAGAACCAGAGGCATCACGGAAAAAAATCATAGGATAGCAGCGATTGCGGTTCACTTTTTCTTCGATTCCTCCAGCATGGCTTCTCAATTTCTTATCTTATGTTGTTTGATTTTCAGTTCTATGGAGAGCTAATTTTCTTGGTGTGATCAATCACAAACTATGATCCTAAATTTTAATCAAAGTCTTTAATATTCAGGGAAGATTTTATTCTAACTTTATTTCAATTTACTCTTCTTCTCTCTACCTATAAATTTTATGCCTTAATTGCTATTGCTGATTAGAGTAGCTCTATTGCATAATTTTTGGGTTATAAATTTTATTTGAGGTTTTAATTGCTATAATCGATTGATATAGCATTGTAAGAGTAATTTGGCTTGGCTTGGGTGATTATCCATGCTTTGTTTTTGGTGTGGCTATAAAACAATTGTTAGGTTGTGGGTTAAGGGAGATTTCAATTAATCTATAACTTAACTTATTGTTTAATTCTTGAATGATAATTTGAGAAATATATAATGAAACCAGAATAATAAAGTTGAATAAAATTAATTTATTTTGTAGACGAGGAAGGTTAAATTTAGGTGATTGGGTTGTGATTGATTGCGCTGCTTATTCTCGGTAATTTTCTTAGTTGAATTTCCTCTATTTATTTATTTCTAATTTAGTTTTTAATTTCATCATAAAAAAACCCCCATTATTTACCTTTTCATAATCATAATTCAAATAGTTACTCTATTGACTCTTAGGGAGACGACCTAGGTTGCACTTTACTGCAAAATCTAGTTTTTATTAATTTTGGTGCTAATGAGTTAACTATACTTATACCTAATTGTTTTCACGTATATAGTAGTTAACTATATCTATCGAACAAGAGCTTTAAAGTATTTTTACTTATGCTATTCCATATGATGTGAGATTTGGAAAAATAATTTGTGTCTATTAAAATTATTTTATAC